CCCCCACTCAGGAAGTGTTCTCAGTACCTATCAGCATCCGTGTACAGGCTAGTGTCGTTGTGAGAGGCTGTATTCCGCTTCGGTGATTTTTATTTTTGGGGATTCTTTCAACGCATTTGACCAGTTCCTGATGGGTGACTTACGAGCACACCTGCCCCCACTGCGCTGAGCGTCCAGCAGTTTTGGACTAAAGACGGCATGATCGCCACGCCCCGCCCTCTCTGTCCATGTGATCTCACCCTGAGAGACTTTCCAAATCTGTTTCCCCCGTGAAAAAAGTCCCCAAAGCAAAACATTTTGCCGATGTGGAAGAGGTGAAGCGAAAATCAGCAGAAGCACTAAAGAGCATCAACATCGACAAATTCAAAATTTGTTTTGAGCAGTGGAAAAAGCATCTTGACAGGTGTGCTGTGTCAAACAGAGAGTACTTTGAAGGTGACTGAAGTCTCCACGTGTAAGAATAAGCACAATTTTAATGAATGAAGTCCAGGTTTGGGGGTCCCCCTCATTTATACACAGCACATATGTAAAATCTACAAATGAAGAAAATGAGGAACAACTGAAGAAACATCTTATTTTTACTAAAAAATATAATGTCTGACTGTAGAACACTTGTTTTGCTTTCGTGACTAAATTAAGGGTCACTGTCTCCATGAAACCTTTCTGACCTTCCTTCCCACAGAGAACTGATCATCTTTGCCTCTCTCACTCGAACAGACTTCGACCCAGCATCTATAACATCATGTTGTCCAGGCTGGTCTCGAACTCCTGGGCTCCAGTGATCCTCCCACCTTGGCCTCCCAACATGCTAAGATTACAGACGTGAGCCACTGTGCCCAGCCACATGTACCCTTAGACCACTTTCATCTCCCTCTCTAGACCCACATGCTCTGTTAAAGATCCTTTCTCCTCTAACTGCCAAGTCTTGGGGAAGTCGTGGACAAAGCCCCAGATTATGGAACTGCGACTGCCTGTTCTCTCCTAAGGACACTGTGACCTCGAAACGCCTCTCTCTGCCTCTGTTCTTTCAACCTGGGAGTTAAAATCCTTTTCTTCATTGAGAAAGAAGGACTTGTTTTCATTTAAAAAGATAGCAGCAGCTTAACCTGAATAAGTATCCAGCTGGAGAAATTTCAAAAATGATGATAAAGAGCAAAGAAGAATTCCAGCCCTGCCAAAGCAAACCCCTGCCAGGGAGAGACCTGTAGGCACGGCTTGGAATCACACTGATCTCTCCTCTGGCCTGGCCAACTAGGATACATAAATTTGTAAGCCGAGAATTTTGTTCAGTGTTTACCCAATTCATCCACCAAACTCCACCCACTGGCTTCTTCACTCTGAGCACTGAAATTAGAGCTACTTGGTACAAACTGGATGTGGGAAATTGCTTTTGCATAGTAAGAGCAAAACAGACTCCTGTAAGAGTGGCCCTCTCATCATAATTTCACCAGATTCCCAAAGGTGTCATCAATCAAAAAAAGATTGAGAAACTGACCTAACAGAAGACAGCTCTTAATTCCATCTCATCGAGGTGTGAATCAGTTGTTATAAAAACCCTCACAGATAAAAACCTTTCCCTTTGCTATCTTCGTTTTCTTGGCCTTCTTGCAACCTGTAAGCAGTCTTAACTTCCAACAGTATTTTTATGGATTTATTTTTTACCACAGTGTATCAACGTGACATTAAAAATATTCCTAGTTCTTGATAATGCAATGCACTTCCCACTATGATTCTGTGGTAATTGGGTCAATGGCCTAATAGAACAAACATACTGAGAACAAGCTGTAAGGATATTGATTCTTCATTCCTCAAAGTAGCATTTCAAAGTCTGCAAATGAAGCCTTAACAGAAAGAAATATTAATGGAGGACTACACAAGAAGGGAATGAAGAATCACAAAGTCTATGACTTGAGAAGAAGCTCAGGGATGATTATTTTTTTCTCTTATCCACTGCTGAGATTGCTATTACAGTTTCTCTAATAAATAGTCATTTCATCATAATTTGAAGATCTTCAATGGCAAGGAATTCACTACCACTCAAGGTATTTTATTCCATTGTTATAACCTTTGAATTCCTAGGGAACCTCCTTAAGGATAGACCAAATCCATCTTCTAGTTATGTTGTTTTAGAAATCTGGGTAACGGGAACGCCTTTCAAGAAGTTGAAGGTAGATTTTGAATCTCCCTTTTTCCTTATTGTCATTAGACAGCACCAGATCCAGCTAATCTTTACTTGATCTTCACAATTCCCAATACTGTGCAGAAGGACTCATAATTAACAAAAGAATGAATGGTCAAGTACAGATTTTGGTTGTGTCTCTGCGGTACAAGGAGATGGCAGGAGATGCCCAGTGTTCCAAATCAGGGTGTCCTCCCCACTGCCTACCACATTGTTCCCTTGAGCCATATGAGGCTGCGGTCTTCTTAGCTGGAGTGAGGAGGGGGCATTCTCATACTGACCACAGTCTGGACACCCATCTCCTCTGAGTTAGCCCGAGTTGCGAGGACTCGCACTAGAGCTTTCACATATGCCCTGAGACCTTAGCTTAAAACAAGCAGTCAAAAAAGGCACAAGTATCTCCTGGTTTCCCGAATGTAGCCGAGCTTTTAATGAAGATAACCATCAGGGTATAAGAAAATAAGATCAGAGAAGAATTGAAAAATGTCCTCCCATTTAAACATATTCAAAGTACTTAACTCATTATTTGTTAAAAACGAAGCAAAACAAAACAATAACCCTCTTGGCTTAGCCCTTGCAATTGACAGTATAGAACATGCCACCGGATTGGGAAAGGGAGGTTGAATCTCAGCTCTGCTTCTTACTTGCTATCAGATTTTGAAATTCCTCAGTTTCTGCAACTATAAAAAACTGGCTATACCACCAAACAGAGTTGTGGGGAGAATTAAGTGCTGTGTGGATGAGTTATCTAGCATAGAATTGTGTGTGTGATTTGCTACAGTTATACCCATTGCATGTTCTGTATTTATGGCAGCCATATTTCCCCAGGCTGTACCCCAAAAATGCCCTGGAGAAAATCCTGCATCTTAGTATTCTCTAAACATCTTATTCTGGACCAATGGCATGATCTTGTTTCGAAGGAAAATTGCTGGGCTGATTTTTGGGAGGCCTGGGTCTTGGTTCCAGCACTTGGCCTGATTGGCCTAGGTTTACTTGGCAAACCTCTTTGTGCCAAAGTGTCTTCAGTCAATCTTATTAACCTAACAGAGGCATGATGAGCAAAGTCGAAGACCTGACATGTTGATATGATGATTTCATCATAATCGTATAACGATCTACTGAAAATAGGAGGTCAAATAACTCATAATGTTTCCCTCCTGTGGGCTCTTCAAGGCCAGATAGGCTTGGAATGACCAATCATCATCCTTTTCCCTTTTTCTCTCCCTTTTTCCTTCCCTTCCATTTTCCTCTTAGAAAGAAGGACACCATTATACCAGGTAGGCCGTTTTTATTCTTATTGAATTTTAACCTTGATTCGGTGACCAGGACCCCAGTTCCTTTAGGCCCACAAATCACTCATTACTTTCAAGGTTGGAAATAATGAGAAAACAAGAGATGAAGCAAAGAAAGGTAACATAAAGAAAAAAGAGAGCGAGATGATTTTTGAGAATCTCTTTGTCATATCTGGAGAGGGAACCATGTATGCAGCATACCCTGGTCTTCCTGGCTGCTGTTTCCTGCCACTGTCTACCCTGAAAGTAGCTACATGGATTGGACAGAGCTGATCAAAAGTCCAGACTCCTCTCATGATACCAGTAGATTAGAAGAAGAGGAAGAGCACATTCTTGATCCCAGGACAGTGTTCTTTGAGATCATACTACAGGAATGTCCACATCTTTGTCCTCTTTGCCTATTCTAAAAATGGATCCATCCCATTGGATCTTGGTCTGATAGTGTTCTTGGCCATAGATACATCAAGTATCCTCCTCCTTGTTGGGCGGAATTAAGTAATATAGGCAAGAAACCTGAGTTCTCTTAGCAGCCGTCATAACTGGTTAAAATTCCTTGCTTGATAGGGGTTCCACCTCTTTCATCACTGTAACCTTCTCATCTTCCATTTTGTTCCCTTGCTTTCCAAAATAGGATTCTCACCTATTACTTAAGTTAGCAATGGACAATTTAGACACTTGAGCCTAGGTTCTGTTAGATACTCTACAAACAGAGAAATAATTTCTGCCTCAGGTACTGTGATATTGAGCATATGACTAGTCCAGAAGCTTAAATAAGAATGTACTATAACCTTGAAAAAATAATTTAGTTCATTAATTTATTGTTAGGAAAAAAACTGTCCTATAAATATTTATGAATTTATATCAAGTTGGAATAATTACAAAAAGAAAGAACGTGATAACATTTTGATTTATAAAACAGTATTATAGTTTTGTCAACTAAAATGCCTCAGATCTTGCTGTTTGAAAATAGTAAATGCCACAGTTTGACATTATATTAAACAAAATTAGGCCTCTAAGAAGAAATCTGATTCTCAGAAGCAAGCCCCCAGTTTCACAAGGTTATGACTCGTGTATACCAACCGTTTCTCTCTAAGACCTGCACAATCACCTTCTATTAATGCAGCCTGCATGCATACTCATTGTTTTAACAGCCTTCAGTAAAGAGGACTGCAGCGGAGATGACAGGATATATGTGGCAAGTGTCCTTCTGAAATTCAGAGATGCCTATGATCTCCTCCTTTGCACTTAATGGATTCCAGCACAGAATAAATAATAAAGAATTACTGCTACCCAGTTGAGGCAAATTAAAGTCAATGCATTTGAGACTTCAGCAGTGAATTGACACTGGCCCTGAATACCAATTGCAACTCATAAAGTAAAGTATAATCAAGGGTTTGGCTGGAAGTCCAGAAATAACCTGCCCAGGTGGGACCAACTTGAAGCTGAAATTATGCAGAGTTCTGGAGGGCACGCACTATCCCTCCAGCCCAGACCGATGCTCCACTGGGCAGCATGCCATTAGCACTCACCATTCTTGCAGAGCAGAACAGCCAGAAAGTCCTGAGAAGAAGAATTGATAAAGAACAAAAGACTGGGGGCCTGGGCTGTCACAAAACTAAGTGCGATGCTCTCCTTGGTTGGAGCCGACTCTGTGTAAATAGCCGATGATGAGAGGCTGACATTCTTGGTCACAGGGTAGGGTTCTTGGAACATGTAAGTAACCGACGTGCCCATCTCAAAAACCGCAGAAACCTCTGCAAAATAGAAGAGGGGAAAGAGCATATGTGGAAACGTTTAGTCCATCATGCAGAACAGTCATCATTTTCTTGTTTCATATGCACCAGTCACTGGGTGAGGAGTGTCACGTGACTCACATAACATGCTTCCCACTACAGTTTTGAAGTGGCAGGGTCATTATTCTTATTTACAAAGGAGAAATGTGAGGCTTTCAGAGGTTACGCACCTTGAACAAGGTAGCATGGCCAGAAGGGAGAGCGCAGGTCTGCCTCTTGAAGTTTTGATCCAGTTTAACACGCATCTGCAGAATGACTACCACGTGTGGCCAGTTCCCCGAGAGGCAAAGATAAAATGTCTCTGCCTCCAGCAGAGTGCAGACAGAAATTTGCTGACGCCATCTTACATTCAAATTTGTGGTCCTAACCGTTCTGTTTGTGTTTTTCTGATGTTTCAGGAAGATTGTGGTTGTAAACACAGAGAGCAGGCCATTGGAGGTGGGCAGAAGTGATTCTCCATGGTGTTGAGAAATGTGTAATGACCAAAGGAAACAGTAAAGAAGGAATGCATGGAAGCAGAAGGAAAACCATAGGTTATCCAGTTCTTGGACTTGGTTTTTTTCAGATGTCTAGGCATTGCTACTCAGTTTCAAAAAACAGGAAAGACTTGAGCAAATAGATCATCCCATGGGAAACAATCCCATAGCGCAACACGTCGGATGGAGGCCTGCCACCACCAGAAAAAAAACGTGGTATCTACAAATTGATGAAATTCACTTAACAGGAACCTGCACATCACCCAGACTCTTTGAGAAAATGCTCCGGCTCCAACTGTTATCATTTTGGTTGAGTGGAACTAGCACAGCATGAATCAGCACTAGATCTGAAGTCCCACTCAATTTCACGCTGGCTGTGTGGTCCCAGGCAAGTCAGGGAACCCTGCGGAGACTATTTTCTCATCTGGTGAATGGAAATCATCAACCTACCTCATCAGCATTTCCATGTGGATGAGATAATGTGTGTCACTTAAGAGAGTTCCAACTCCTGGTCTCTCCAAGTTAGAGGAGAATTTAACCTGAACCCATCCCAACAGCTTTTACACACATATCTGTATTGACTGTCCATCCGTCCAAATGCTGAGATATTCCTTTTGGATCTAGACTGCTCTTTTGGATCTAAAATTTAATTTTTTTTCTCTGTACCGTATCAGAGTTTGTGGGGAAGGTTCCCTCACAGAGCAACATACCTTAGATTTGGCAGTGATTCTCCGCCATAAAAATTGCTCTGTAAACATAAGCCCATGTTGGCATGATTCATTTCCCTCTGTCCTGAGTGGCTTGTGGAATGTTCTTAATTCCCAATTAAATTCTCTGATTGAGTTGGTGGCACCTAGAGCATAATCAAACCCGGCTTTTGCTTCTTAATTCTATTGCAAATTTGTCCCACCTTGTGAAAATTCTGAAGCAGTTTGTAATAGTGCCAAAAAATTAAAGTTGCATATTTATGCATATTGCCTAGCAGATTGGGAATACTATTTCATTTTTGCTAAAGGTTCAGAGAAAGCGTTTTGCATTTATCATGCGGGTTACAACATCGGTACTCCTGATGGTAAAAATATGCAGCCGATACTTGTGACAGTAAGAATTTTGGTTAATCATTAGCTTGATTTAAGAATTTTTCCTAAGTGAGTTTTTTCAGGGACATTTGGCCCACGTTTTGGCTACCATCTCCTAGTTAACAGAATAAAGAGCTTTTGTTTTGTTTTGTTTTTTGTTTTTTGAGTTGGAGTCTCATTCTGTCGCCCAGGCTGGCGTGTTGTGGCATGCTCACGGCCACCACAGCCTCGACCTGCTGGGCTCCAGCATTTCTTCCACTTCAGCCTTCCAAGTAGAATAAAGGGCTTTTATTCGATGTCTGTGTGTGTGCTGAAACAGAAATCCAACTCAGAGCACTCTGTTAGGAATAACATGTTAGATATAGGTATATCCAGTATGTTACTTTTTTATTTATACTTAGGTCAAGAAATTAAAAATGAAAATCATTTGTAATTAGAAATGTCAAGCCAAATTTCTGTCATCACTCTTTCTCCAGCCCCCTTCTAATTATTTTTTTAACATTTGGATGTTTTCTATTTCAGCATAAAGCTAAATTCAGCAATATACCTGGATTCTATTATTCTTTCCATTTCTTATGTTTTATAGTCTAAGAGTTTAAGCTTTTTGATCAATTAGACTGTCTGAATACTCAAAACCATTGGACTAAATGGATGAAAACCCTGAACTTGAAGGTGATTTCCCGTGATCATCATGCTACTCCAGAGCCACAGTACCAGTATCAGCAACATTCCTTGAGCACCCAGGTAGTGGAAGGACTCATGCCAACTGGGTTCCGAGGTGTTCAGACACACTTTTAGAAAATAAACACCAATAAAGTTAGCATAGAACTTGATGTGTGAGCCACAAAGACAATGGATGATTGTCACTCAAAAAAGAAAGGGATGTCTCTGAGACCAGAGTAGCCTGAGAGACTCACAGAGGAGCTCAACATTGACAGGGGCTTGACAGGAGGCATGAACGATGAGAAGGAGCTAGGAAATGAAATGGCACTGGCAGGGTGTGCTTCGCTGCACCGACCTGGAGACGGTAGGGATGGAGCTGGAATCTGACTCTGCCTGTCTCTCCTGACCACAGAATCCCACTTAACCTCAGGTTATTCACGTATAAATCAGAATGGACTCAAACTTAAGATGAGTGAGGTATTGGAAGAAAGTGCATACAAGCATGGCGCATAGCAGGAACTCAATAGATGGTACCTGGCCTTAATAACAGTAATAGAACCAGCGTTAGAATTGAAACAAAAAGAAAGACCAGTCCCTGGTAATAAGTAGTCTAGCAGTTCCTAGAAATTCAATCAGGCTGTAATTGATTTTGAAACTATCAAACTAAGTGTAAATGAAATAATGGGAAATTTGAATACTGAGTGAATATTTCCAAAATTTATTATTGCATTTTTCTTATGATAATGGCTCTGTGGATACGTCTTCCATGAGTCCTTATCTTTTAGCAGTACATACTATAATATTTATAGATGAAATAGTATTGTATCTTGAATTTGCTTCAACAATAAGAACAAGTATTTGGTCAGACTTCATATGCTGTAAATTATCTCAAGTGTTTGGTGGAGGGCTCACTGAATGTTAAGCAAACAGGACCTGTTGTAAAAGATTCCTGCACTGTCTATATTTTACAGATGAGGAAACCAAGAACACTTGAGGTTGAGTTACACGACCAGCGTCACACATAGATTATAGATGAGGTAGGCTCTGTACTTAGACAGGTCCAGTGTCAGAGCCCCACTATTATTCTGTGAGTTGTCTAGCTCTGGTGATAGAACAGATTAAACAAGGAAATGGCATTTGATAGAATATATTACAATCATTAAAACTGATGTTCACCAATGTTTATGATTTGTAAAGGAAATCTATCAAAATGAAACAAAGAAAATCCAGTATAGAAAATAATGGGCAAAATTTTCTCAGCTGTATTAAATGAAAACACAACACAGCAAAACAAACAAACAAAGCTAGAAGAACACAGAGTGTTTTGAATGATGGTCTCTGAGTAATTAAATTGGGTCTTAACTTTTCTAGATTTCCAAATGTATTTTCAAATATATTATCTAACATTTTAAATCAGAAACATTTAAATAATAATAGCATGATAGTCCCACCCAGGTTCTTCATTAATGATATCTGTGTTGTGAAGGGTATGAAGTCAAAAAACAAACGCATATCAACAAACGGTGCAGGACAAGTGGGTATTCACAGGCAAAAGATTGAAATTAGACCCCTTCCTCACAACAAATACAGAAATTAATGGAAAATGGATAAAGACCCAACTGTGAGAGCTAAAACTCTAAAACTTCTAGAAGAAAACACACATAGATCTTCGTAACCTCGGACTAAGTGATGGTATCCTAGCCATGACGTTAAAAGCACACATAATTAGAGAAAGAAAAATAGATAAATTGGACTTCATCAGAACTAAAACTTTTGTACTTCAAAAGATACTGCAAAGAAAGTGGAGAGACAACCAATAGAAAGGGATAAAATATTTGCAAATCATATATTTTAAAAGTGAACCATATTCAGAATATATGACACGTTCTCATAGCTATACAGAAACATGAAAAAGAAGCTATTTTAAAAACTGGCACAAGATTTAAATAGCGATTTCTTCAAAAGCATATGTATACAAATGGACAATAAGCACATGAAAAGATGTTCGGTATCACTAGTCATTAAGGACTAATGTAACCATATAATTGTGACTTTTCTGTGGCCAAAACCACAGTATGATGTTATATCACACCCAGTAGGATTTCTGTTATTCAAAAAGCTAGACAATAGCACGTATGGACAAGGGAGCAGAAAAGCTGGAACCCTAATACACCACTGATGGACATGAAAAGTGGAGTAGCTACTACTTTGAAAAACAGCTTGGCAGTCCTTCAAACGGTTAGTTAAGCATATAGTTGCCATATGACCCAGCAACCTCTCTTCTAGGCACATATCTAAGAGAACAGAAAACAAATGTCCACACAAAATGTACACATGAATGTTATGGCAGCATAATAACAGATAAAGAAACGGAACCATCCCAATGTCCAGCAACTGATAAATGGTTTAACAAAATGTGGTGCTTTCACTGTATGAAATATTCTCTGGCAATAAAAAGGGATAAAGCCTTGAAAAATGCTATGACACGGATGAATCCTGAAAACATTGTGTCAAGGAGAAAAAAAACACCACAGGAAAGTCGCAAATTATATGGTAGTGTTTATATGAGAGGTCCAGAACAGGCAAATCCAGAGAGACAGAAAGCAGATTAGTGGTTTCCAGAGACTGGCAGAGAGGCGAATGGAATGATGGAAATATTCTGAAATTAAATACTGGCAATGGCTGTATAACTGTAAATATGCCTAAAATCACTGAATTGTCCACCTTAATGTAGTGAATTTTATGGTATATAAACTACAACTCAATAATTGTAAAAAGAAAGACAAACATATAAAACGCAAACTACCTATTTGGTGAGATGGGATTCTTTTACCATATTCCTGTATAGAATGCAATTAGGGTCATAAAGAGGAAAAATGAATCAAAAAGATACTGACTGGACTTCTAGTTCTGACACTTACTTGCAAATCAGTAAACCTCCAGGAACCTCCATATGTTAAACTAAGATGTTAATACCTGCCCTACTAGTTCAGGAACAAGGAATATATGTTACTGGCAATTGCTAGTTAATTTTATGATGCTTATTCCTTTGTACCATTATAAGAAACAGAAAACGGGCCAACGAACCATGGTTCTGTTTCAGGTATTTACAAAGAACAAATGTCCCAAATTCCACCCAAACTCTTTCTGGTGTATTCATCATTTTCCTGAACTATATACTGCACCATAGTAAGTAGCATGGAAGACTATCCCAACAGAGGACATCCTTTGTTCAGGACCATCTCATAGCTGATGTCTCCTTCACTTCAGTTCCAAGCCACATTTCCTAGGGGCAACTGGTGTGGCTCAAAGAATTGGTTAAAAAATCCATCTGAAGCCGGGTTTGGTGGCTCAGCCTGTAATCCCACACTTTGGGAGGCCGAGGTGAGTGGATTGCCTGAGTCCGCGGGTTCGAGACCTGCCTGGGGAGCTTGGTGAGACCTAATCTCACAATAAATCAAAAAATTAGTTGGGCGTGGTAGCGCGCGCCTGTAGTTCCAGCTACTTGGAAGGCTGAGGTGGAAGGATAGCCAGAGCCCAGCAGGTTGAGGTTACGGGGGCCGGGAGGGGAGCGGCCACTGCACTCCAGTCTGGGCGACAGAGTGAGACTCCAACTCAAACAAACAAACAAAATCCATCTTAAATACATCACAAGTACTGACAGTAGAGGAAGTCATTAGAAATATCAGAAAGAGAAAAAAGTTTGGAAATAGTGACATAGGAAGCATGCTGAAGAGGCTGAGCGCACATTTGTGTATTTAACTTAAAGACCAAAAATGAAAAGTGGGAGGAAATACAGAGGATATTCCAAATATGCAGGCAAAAGATACCATGGCATGGACAGAAGAAAATTAATAAGAACTGTTCCAGACAAAGCCAGACAAAGGAACCAACAAAAGTCAGGCTAGCCTGGCACTGTGGCTCAAGTCTGTAATCCTAGCACTTTGGGAGGCCGAAGCAAGAGGACTGCCTGAGCTCGGGGATTCGAGACCATCCTGGGCAACTTGCGAGACTTCGTCTCTACAATAAATAAAAAAAAATAGCCAGGGAAGGTAGCGAGCGCCTGTAGTTCCAGCTACTTGGAAGACGGAGGCAGAAGGATCACCTGAGCCCAGCAGGTCCAGGCTGCGGTGGCCGTGAGTGTACCACTGCACTCTAGCCTAGGCGACAGAGTGAGACTCTAACTCAAAAAAAAAAAAAAGTCAGGCTAAGTTTAAAACAATAAGATCTAGGGGAAGCTTGAATAATGTCCCTGGAGAAATGCAGAGAGGTGCGCTGTTAATTTTCTTCCAAAGAGAAGACTTGGGCATAGATGCTGAAAACAGCACTTGTGTACTCAGTGCCTGGGCCCCATAGTGTTTATTCTGTCTGTGCTCCTTCTAGCAATTGGGACCACTCAAAGGATGGCATTCCACTTTTCAGGGGAAGTAGTTCAGAGACTGCTCCCAGTGTGAACGTTCAGTAGCACTCTGCGTGTCTTTGGTCATATTAAGAAGGTGGGACCTGCTTTATTTCAAGTGCCCATGCATAGCCCAACACACTGTTGGCCTTAAAATTTTTGCCAGTAATTTTCTCCCAAGAAGCATAGCCTCCTTTCCAGCAATAATAAACAAGTAATTCAAACTAATTGGGGTAAAGGTCTCTGTATGAATGAATGGAGAGCTTAAATTATAGTATTTTTCAAAGTAAACACGGGGTACTTTCTGTCTCTGTTCTCAAGTTCCAGCAGTAAGTCTGACTTACTGGAGCATTGTTTTATCAAGGTGCTTGGAAAATGAGTTTTAATGACTTGATAAGAATGATTTATAATTGTCATCATTGTTTGTATGTAAATAGTATCTCAAAATGATCAAAACATTTTACTTTAATAGCCTAAATGCTGCTCTTGAAATATTATTTGCTCAACAATTTTTTTTCATCAAGAAAACAAACTTAAAAGTACTGCAAAGATGGAGAGCATACTAAACATTTTGTTCTTATGCTTGAAAAATGTTAAGCATTTATATTGAATAATGAGATGTTAGGGTTTTTAATTACCTGAACTTTTCTAGAGAATTCATGCCATGATTATCACTCTTTGTCCAAGGTGTATATTCACCATGATTAATTTTGTCAATATAATGAATTCATAATATTGTGAAGGAGTGTGAAAAAAGCCCCAGGGCAGGAACTCTGACTCGCCTGTTCCAGTCCCAACCCGCTGATGAAGTAAATATGAGCTTCCAGGCAGGGTTTTTAAAGGCTCAGACATTTGCTCAAGTCACCTGCAGAAGAAGGCTATCTCACCAGACACATGATATTGTTCTTATTGGTTTACCCATACTCCTTTGTGGTAAAAATAATTTAAGATGACTTCAGTATCTCTAAGCCTCCTCCAGGGTTAGAGTCTACGATCCTTTGATTACATTTGTAGACTGACGAATTGGAACTGGAGATATTAACAATCCAGTTAACACAATAGAAATGGAAGTCCACCCCTTCCTATACTCGGCTGGCTCCTTGGTCATGGGCCGCGTGCTGGCCTGTAATCATCCATCCAGTTCAGTTGCACTGCTAGTGTACACCTGCAACAATAACCTGAATATGCAATTTTGCTGAGGAGCTATGCAGACTCTCTAAGCAGAGAACAGAGAGCACATCAACGACGAAGGCTGTCTACAGGCGTGGGTATCGCACGGCCTGACTCTGGCCTCTGGGTGATACAACAGAGCATATGGGAGAAACGGGAGTGCCTGCCGTACCTTTTTTGCAGAAGGGCCCTTCATAAGGCGAATTGGTGCAATCGCATAAGTAGCCGCTGTGCTTCTCCACACACTTGCCCCCGTTGTGACAGATGCCACCGTAGCTGCTGCAATGGCCCGGGCAGCCTGGCCTCACTCCAGATGTGACCTTTGCCCTCTCCTCCAGGTCCAGTTTCTGCCCATTCAAGTGTAAGGAGCGGATGCATCCTAGGAAGCCTTTCTGTCTTGATGAGGTTCCCCCTAAGAGGTTAAAAAAGGAAGAGAAAAGAAAAGTAAGTCCTCAAAGGGCTTGATGGTCTTAGGTTTCATGTGGGCGTTAGTAGTTAACAGTTAACTATTGTTTTTGTTGTCATGCTGAATGAATTCTTCCATTAAAGTTTCCAGTGAGAGTCGGGATTTCAAAAAGCCTCAAAAAAATGTGTGTGTTTCCAGGCTGGGAAACACTCCTTCTCCCAATCAAAATGAGAGAGAAAGGGGTCGGGGGTGGGGGGAACTGGTTCTTGTGGAAATCTGTATTTTATAAGTTTAAAAGTAAATTTTCAGATGGCCGTGTTCCTTGCAAATAAAATGGGTTTTACACAGTCTACAGCATACTTTCATCTGAAGTAGAAAACATGAGTGGGATTTTCCATTCTGACAACATCAGGCACAAGCCGTTGGGAGCAACAACTTTGAAAACTGCAGCAGGTTTCCTAATTCCTGTGCAGTGCAGTGCAGTGCAATGCAGTGTATAGGAAAGTGGGTAGATTCTAGAGCCAGACAGATATGGGTCAAATTCAACGTCAACTTGCTGAATAGCAGTATTGAGCACTGAATCACCTAAGCCTCAGCTGTTTCATCTGGAAAACAAGAATAAATCTATTTTGTGTGTTTATGGTGAGACTTAGCTAAGATCCTAGACCACAACATATGCCCAATCATTGCTTTTCTCTTATATCTTCTCTTGAGTCCTCACAATGGTTAGAATCAGTATGTCTTTCATATATATGTGCTGATTGATCCTAAAGCTTAACATTATATTATTATTTGGAAGATAGATTTCTCCTTCTGTGATGCAGATTAAGGTTGGTTATAACCCAACTTTCTGCTGCGGGTACATCTGGAAGGTTTCAGGGAGTTTTGATCTGTTCCTTGCAAATTACTCAAAAATAAGGCAGCATCAAAGTTTCAGAGTGTTTCGTTGCCATTGGAAATCCAGGATTCTCCCAGCCCGTCCCTTTCATAACAGAAAAAAAAGAATGTGTGTTGGGAGACAAGCTAGAAATCAAACTAAGTCCCATAGGTGGGTATTTATTTGGTGCTGAGAATTCTGGGAGATCTCAGGAGAGGCAGAGAGACAGCCTGTCTTTAAAGAATGCAGGTTTCATTCCAGATCCTTGGCCCCAAGTCTGTACACCTGGACAAGTGAAAGACACATACATCTTCAAGGTCGACCAGAGGTATTAATGGAGAGGAGGAGAAAGGGCCTAGGAAAACCTCAGGGCAGGTGTTCCCATCAAGGTGGATAAGATAGGAATTTGAAATGTGTTATCCCAGACAGGGAACGTAGCTGTTAAACAAGAGACAAAGTTGTAAGTTGAAGGGACCAAAGGCCAATCTAAAGAATTCCTGGAGTTAGTCAGCTGGGCCCAAGGATGGGCAGAGTGGGGCAAGGGAAAGGAAGGACATAGTTAGACGGGAGGACGGTAGGAAGTATGGGTGAGGGGAGTACAGGTCTTCCCTCCATAAATCACACCAGGTCCCCAGACCCCTCAGTATGTTTATGACATTCACTGGCTGCATTCAGAAACAGAAAATTCCTAAGAGATCAATCTAGACTTTTATTTTGAAGTAATGATAAAGCTCCACTGTCTTTTCAGTTCTGATAAGTGATTCCCAAGCAGGCCAGGAGGCCAAACCCAAATTGCATTCTCCTGTCTGTCTCAATTTTGGTGAGTGAATCTCTTTAACCACAAGATAAATCAATTATAAACACAAGCAGATCATAGAGGAAGGCTCATTACTTCTTTCCTGAAGATTGTGCAGAATAAAGAGGAGAGAATTTGTGTCCAAATGTTTTGCTTGCTTTTGTTCCCTTATTTTGCAGTCACTCCCCATGGTGGATATGAATAACTTTCCATATATCTTGTTAGTGTCATTTTTCTTTTAGTAGAGGTGAAGAATGCAAGATCTATTGCACATTTTCTTGCGTGTGACTTAGTCAACAAGTTTATAAATGGAGCAGAAAGTGACTGAGGTGGTTTCTCCCACAGAAATGCACTCCTTGAGGTTTGAGATGTACAGTCTGGTGAGAATGCCCTAAGACAAGGGGATCATTTCAATTACAGATGCTGACAAAACATAATTATACAGTGAGCTATGAACTAAGTTGAAGGGAACTACATTTCCATTTTTACCTGGTTGTGTTTTAGTCTTCACAAAGGAGAAAACTTGAGGTTAGGCTGATTTTTCTTTATGAAGAGATACATGCAGACTAAGAACAGAATATTTTTAAAGATATACTCTCCCCACACCACACACACACATACACAGACCCAGAGTGGATTTTGTCTGCATTCTCTGATGCCATCCCTTACTATGTGAGTGCTGCCAGAGGAGTGACCCTTCTGTGAAGCTTAAACAACATGCAGAAATGCAAGAGAAATGCAACTCCTCCTCCTCACTCCCAGTCTTCCTTCCCCTACCCAGTCTTGGGGATTTGTTCTCTCAGATGTCTCTGAATCCATCTGTTTCTTTCTACACCTAGAGCAATGTTCTCAGTCTAGTCTCTCGCCCCCATCTGAATCCCTGCAATAACATTCTACCTTTAACTCTGATTCTTCCCATTCATTCGCCCCTGTGTAGCCAGATTGGATGCAGATTTGAAAATCGGATTCTCTATTCCTGTAGAAACCCTCCAGGAATCAGTCATTGTCCTAAAGGTCAAGCTGAAATTCCTCAACATGGCTGAAACAGCGAACGAGAGCAGGTCGTGCCTGATCTCACGGGCTTCCTCCTCCCACGTTCCCTGCTCTGACTCCAGTGCACCAGGCATTCGGAACTTGTGGGTCCCCAAAGTCGTGTGGTCTGTTTTGACTCTGGACCTCTTCGGTATATTGTGTTTAGATGGTATGTAATCTTCCTCGTCTGCTCCACTCCGTGTCCTTCACCCCTGCAACCGCAGACACACTTGCTGCACTCAGCCACTTACTGTTCTGCTCACCTAGCATTTAATTATTTTAATTAGTTGTCAAGTTGTCAGTTTTTTTAAAGCAAAAGAATATGTTTTTAATTCTAGTAAGTTCCCCATCGAAAGATCAGAAGATCTGTGAATAATGAGCCTGCTTTTCTGCACGACAAACCTCAGCTGTAGCTACACTGGGGTCAGCTCCTTTAAGATAGGGCATGAACTCCAACCCCACCGGGGTCACTTCATTCATTCATATTGCCTTCCTGGCTATTGCAGGCATTTAATTTTTCAGCAGTTGTTCTAATATGCTTTCCTCTTTATTTATTTGCCTCTCCTCTCGTATATAGTTCACTGTAAGAAATATGTAGCGTTATACTTAGAGCGACTTAAAGTCATTTTTTGAGACTCAGACTTAATCTCTAAGGTCTTTGAGAATCAGAACAATGTCTCTGATTCCTAAAATAAATATATTTCAAGCACACTAGTTGTATACTAGAAATCTTATGCTAAACTCATTGAATTCTCAGTGAGAAGGGAACTAGTTTTTATGTTATAAACATTACCTAATTGAGAAAACTTAGGGTCAAGAGTCAAACAGATTTTATGTGGAAGAGTCAGGAGTCAGGCAGAATCTGGTGACCGTCAAAGCCCTCATATAGCTCATACCCTAAAATCCTCAAATGAACTATTATATTAGACAATTTGGGTTAATACCACACCTGCGTGATTATTCTACTTTCTTTCTCTGATCTAGTACAGGTTTTCTCCCACCAAGCAATATACACACGTGCATTTATCCTCTTGGCTTCCATATCACTCTTCTTGACAACCGAAACCATTAGTTGGCTGGCCTAGCTAGAAGCAATTTTGTATGATACTCTTCAGTTGGCCCTCGGTATCAGGTGGGTTCATTATGATGATGTTTCCTTGGACTGAGTATGAATCAACTCTTAAAAACTTCGCTATCATCATTCTAAGCCTGTCTTAGAAAACCTCCAAATGTCAGTTCAACAAATGCTCATTGCTTTCAGAGAAGTATCTCAATTCCTTGTGCCCTCTTTGAGCACAAGTATAAGAGCCTCTATTTCTCTCATGTGTGTCTGCCCTTTCTTGTACATGCACGAGCAAAGTTTGTGCGCAGAGAAACCCCTGGGGAAACAGTGTACCGGGTTGGGATCTTATTTCATACAGAACAGGGTGATACCAGCTTTTCTTCCTCCCTGTCTCTCTCTCTTCTTCCTTCGTTTTTTTCTGCCCTTAAACATGAAGCAGCTTGTTTTCTATTGAAGTTCAGTTGCATTTACCACCTGGATTTCAAATGCTAAGGTGACAGCAGGTTTAGCATATATATAAATAAAAACAAGTACACTAACCCATCAATTATCTTCTTTTGAAAATTCTGCTTCTCCAAGTGGCAGACTCTTACCTAGGAGAAAATCCTATTGGAGACTTTAATTCCAAAATATGATTTAAAAAAAAAAGCATGTATTTGGTTGAGTTTTGCCAGATGGAGTGATTTCTTACTCATAAATCACTAAACACGCAATTTAATAATACTGTAGTACTAACTGGATGCTCCAAATGTAAAATAATGGCAGTAGCAGTGAATCTGAACTGAGTTGACTTCATATCAAACATCTTCTATATGCTTCGTTGATTCAATCCTTACTACAAATTGTGGCACCCAAACCAAATGTCAAACTCCCTTGCCAAATTGGAAAAGAGCTGAGTAATAACTTGTATTTGGTTAACGATAGATTAACATAACCTCCTTGTTTGTTGGTAGAAACAAATGTAAAAAATTTTGAAGAATAATCATGAATGCATTTCAAAAATTATTAAAGCATTATTATTGCACTTTTTAGAGACAGTAGCCCAGTATGAAGCTGGGAGGAGTATTACAACCAAAGCTATTTAATTACCTTTCTACATAGTCATTATAAATTGGGGGGAAAGAATGACAAAGAGGAATGGTGAACAAATTATGGTAATTCCATGTGGAGAATTGCCATGAAACCATTTAAATGTATGATAATGAGAAAACTCAACTTTAACGATAGTGGTTCCCTTT